GCTTCTCAGAGTAACAGTTAAAAATGTTTTGCTTTTCTGCCTCAGGGGAATTACTTTGATGTATGAGGCAGGGAGATTATTAAATCTTCGGAGCCTTCCAAAGATGTAAATTAAACCACAGCACCTCCTTAGCCACCTTCCCTGTATGAGCTGGAGATTTATTATGGATTTGTCACTCTTGCGTGCTCATCAAAACAAGCAGCAACATGATTAATTACACCTGTTTATTTAAGGGTACTAGTCATTCCAACTTCCTGGGGACAGGACATGACATTCTCTTGGTTTCTTTGCAGAACAGTAGCAGGAGGACCTTTTAAAGGAGAGCAGTGGGCCTCCCCGGTGGCGCAGCGGTTGAGCGCTGGGTTGCGAAGCTGCCCACGGCCTCTGCGGCGCCAGTTCGATCCCTGGCTGCTCCCCGGCCACCGGAGGAGGGTCCCACATGGCGCGCAGACCTCTCCTGCCGTCCACTGCTCCCCTCGACGGTGTGCTTCGGTCTTTCTGCCTGCTCTGCTCCCAGCTCTGGCTCTGGTGAATTCTCTCACCCTCCCGCGCTTCTGACTGTACCCAGTGCTTGTATAAACAAAACAAACAAATAAATTAAAAAAAATAAAAATATCAAAAAAAATAAAGGAGAGCAGTGAACCACTATCCTCCCCTAATCATTTCTATGGATACATTTGAAAGAAAGGTGGTTGAAATGTAACTGTATATTTTTTTAGTTTTAAATGAAATGACACTTTATTTTGGCTTCCCTTGCATATTCTGGCTGATTCAATTCATCTGGACATCTTTCAAAGACTTTGATAAGTCCAGCACTATATGGACATCAGCCCTAAAATTCTCTTCAATTCTGTCACTCACAATTCAGTGCAACAACTACAATATATAGTAAGATCCTTCTGTATGGCAAGCAGCAAATGTAAATTTATTGATTCATGTCTTTTATGTGTCAGTAATAGTATGCATAACTGAAATCTGTGTAATGCAATTTTACGTGAACAAAAACAAACAAAAACCTCATACAACGCAGGAGCAAAAACACAATTTGATTTTAAAATGGGCAGAGATTCTGAAAAAAAAAAAAAAAAAAGTTTTCCAGAGACAAAAAGACAGTGTACAGCTACATGAAAAGGTACTCAACATCACTGATCATCAGGAAAATGCAAATCAAAACCATGAGTTATCACCTCACACCTGTTAGTATGGCAATTATCAAAAAGACAAGAGATAACGAATGTCAGAGAGGGTGTGGAGAAAATGGAGCCTTGGTCACTGTGGAAATCTAAATTAGTGGAAATCTAAGTTGGTGCAGCCACTATGGGAAACATTATGGAGATTTGGTTTTCCTCCAAATGGTCTAGCATTTCCACCTCTGGGACTATATCCAAAGGAAATGAAAATATATATGCACCCCCATGCTCACTGCAGCATTGTTTACAGCAGACAAGACATGGAAACCACCTAAGTGTTCATCAAAGGAGGATGGATAAAGAAATTCTTGGGTTTCTCAATCATTTTGAAGCGGGTAAAGGGATCTTGAGACCAAAACACTTCAGAACTACAGTACAAACATTCCCATTGAGGTCAGGATGATAGCTGGCCTAGACAGAATATATACAAGATGACATATTACGCCAGAAAGTATGGAAGTTATCAAAGACTGAATTATGCAAAAAAAAAAAGTATCAATTTCACAGAGCCCCTCCCCTAGTCACCAAAGCCTATGTAGGATCATTTATTTGCACATCAATTGACAAGTTTTAACTGATTAAAATATAGCCCCCCCATACACGCACACACACCACCAAAAGTCCCCAAAAATGGTTAAAAAACAACTACCAAAAGAGAATTTCACTTATTTTTCTGAAAATTGATGTGTTTTTTAAAATTAAGCATTTGTTCATCTTTCTCTAAACAAACTCAGGAAAAAAATAAGTTGATAACTAAATAAACATCTTCATACAAGTCCAATTAACACAGAAGATAAACTTCAAGCTGAAAAAACAAAAAATCACTAGTTTGCAACCCCTATGTATTGACATTCAACAAATGGTAAGATTATTAAAGACCAATCAAAAACACAACAGTATGTGAATAAGGTTGATGTCTAAACCTTTGATAAACCCTAATGTCACTAGCAGCAACTTGCCATTTTGTTGTGATGTAACTTAAAAAGAATTTAACACCACTTGTGTGAAGTATTCTTGCCCAAAATAATAAATCCTCTAGGTCTAACTACCAATTTACAAGGGACATGTGGCAACAGAGATATAAGTTAAAGGAAATCTTTAATGAGAAAGTGATCTGCCAGATCTAGAATATAGAAAAGTACAGGACGAAATGACCTGTTCTTCCAATAGTTAAAATGGCACCGGAAAGAAAACACTGGGGCTGGGGTGTGAGGGCTTTCATAGAACAAGTGAAACTCCAGAGACATATTGAAGCGTAGGTTCTCCCAGCTACCTGAAAATAGAACTTTCTGATGTGGCAGGTTATTTAGGGGTTCTGGGAAAGGTCAAAATTTTCTCCATATTAATTAATGGTAGCAGCATTAGGCAAGCTGCAGGAACAACAAAAATGAAATCCACTAGGATAGATCTGTGCTTGTTCTGAATTTTCTGTCTAATATATAGACTAATTTTTCAATCCTGAGATTCACTGGAAACAGAATGGAAACTGTCAAAAGCCTAGACAGTAAAAGCACACCTGTCTTGCACAGTAAAATAATTTGGTGCTGAAAAACAATCTTAAACAGCAAAAAAAAGATGCAGATACACAGGCTAAAACGCCAGTTTATCCACAAAGACCTATACAATCTTTTTAATAAAAGTATTTTTTCATCATATTACAAAGTTTAGGGAAAAATAAGCCCTCAAATGTTTTTAATTATATCACAATAAATTTAAGCTATAAATCAACAATATGACTGCATGATTAAATATTAAATATCTAATAGGCTAAACTGATGCTTGTCTTACCTGACCCTTAGTTTGGCTGATCTATATTCCACATAATAGTGACACCAAGATGACTACAGAACTGAAGCATCCAGAGGGGGATAATGGGTGGGGAGGGTAAGAACAAACAGGGTAGGAAGCACAATGGACTATGATGGTGGACTGTGGGTGATTTGGGGATAGATACACTGCAATGGCAATACCTGAGGCGGGTATCCTAATATCACTCCAATTTAAAAATTTTTTAAGAGATCACAGATGTTTATACCTAGGTGATCTATTAAGACATTCTGAAGCGAGCCTCCCTAATGGCCTACGGGTTAAGTCTCAGTGCTACCACCACAAAGGCCTGAGTTTCACCAGGGAGCTACCCACATGGCGCAGCAGACCTCTCCTATCTCACCCATTGCTCCCCTTACCAGTGTATTTCAGTAGATCTGCTTGTTCTGCTCCCTAATCTGTCTCTGGTGAATACTCTCACACCCCCAACTCTGGCCTATACCCCAGTTCTATGCAAAAATAAATAAAATCTTAAAAAAAAAAAAAAGACAGGGCCTTCCTGGTGGCGCAAGGGGTCAAGCACTGCACTATGAAGCAATCCTCAGCCTCTGCAGTGTAAGTTCAATCCCCGGCCGGCCAGGGAGCAACCCACATGGCACAGCAGACCTCTCCTGTCTCGCCCGCTGCTCCCCTCAGCAGTGTGTTTCAGTCAGTCTGCCTGTTCTGTTCCCCACTCTGTCTCTAGTGAATCCTTTCACCCACCACCACCACCACCCCCACGTCTCTGGCCTATACCCCAGCTCTTGTATGCATAAATAAAAAAATCTTAAAAAAAAAAAAAGACACTCTGGAAAGACACAAAGATGAAGATCTCAAGAAAATCAGAGTAATATTATTATGGGTACAATTTGTAAATGAGTACTCAGCCTACACAGGAACACAAGCAGATTAGACTTTTAAACAAAAATTTCACTTGAGTGAAATTCAGTGCTAACCTATGCTGACAGGTATTTTCTAAATATTTTCACTAAAAAAAATAGCTGGCATCATCACATAGTTGTGAGGTGATAAAGGAGTTTTCTCTTTTCCCAAAATATTCTAGTATAAACTTGTACTTATGCAGTGATAAGTTACTTTCACTTTCTGTATTGGCCAAAACTAAGAAAAACAAGTATTAAGATTTAATAACAGAATGGGAGAAAAAAAACTCATTTCAAAAACTGCTATTTTTATATAAGCTAATTATAGAATGCATTGAGTAGAAGTACATAAGCAACAACTCATAAATTTATTACGATTACTGTTTTAATTACATGCTTTAAAACATAGTTATATATTCAGTTACAATATGTAATATCAAGCTTTTAGTTTACTTGCTCCTTAGCTATGAGGCCATCCATTTATCAGATAAGCTGAAATATGTTTTTTCCTAAAATCAGTCTGAAGTGAGTTTTAATCCAGTAAATTAAAGAAGGAAAAAAAAGATGGGTGAGGCCTGTTATCAAATAACTGAGTCTCTTTCTTCAATACTAACTACAGAATAAACAAATTATCAGCCATATCCATGTCATCGATGTATAATTTTTCATCACATTAGTAGAGAATATAGTATGTGTATCATTCAAATTATACAACCAAACCACAAAGCATTACACCAGTGTACTAAAGAGACCATTATTTTTAAAACAAAAATAGAAAACCTTTTATGCTTTGTTTAAAAGCTTTATAAGCACATACTGTATGCATAAAAAGTGATAAACATTAACTGTTTAAAACAATTTTAAAAACTGAAACAAAACTAAAAATGTCCTATTTTTTCCATATTATAAAGTGAAAATACAAGAAATAATCAATGTTGTCCTCTTTCAATGAAGAATACTTAAACTTGGAAAATATTTTTGTTTGGGTTTATGATCATTTTTATTTCAAAAAAAAAAATGTCAGATGGGCCTCCCCTGGTGGCACAGCAGTTGAGCGCTGGGCTGCGAAGCTGCCCGCAGCCTCTGCAGTGCCTGTTCGATCCCCGGCCACCGGCGAGGGTCCCGCATGGCGCGCAGACCTCTCCTGCCGCGCCCGCTGCTCCCCTCAGCAGTGTATTTTGTCAGTCTGCCTGTTCTGTTCCCCGCTCTGGCTCTGGTGAATTCTCTCACCCTCCTGCGCTTCTGACTGTACCCAGTGTTTGTATAAATAAATAAATTTTTTAAAAAATGTGAGAGGGTAACTGATTTCATATACCCACACTATGCACTGAAACTAATTTAAAACTACTCAATTAATGATCTCATCTGGAAATGCAAGATAAGGTTTAAATACTTCTAAAGGCCTAGTATAATCATCAAAGATAAGTAAAATAACAAAAGCACCAATAAACAGGTTTTTCCTCTCATTTAACATTTTGAACTTGCTTCTTTCATCACTTCAAGATCTTTGGAGTCGGAAAAAAATACAAATGTCTTCAAGCCCAAAAAAAACCAAAAACCTTTTAAAGATGGGTGTACAGTACACATACGTAAGATTTTAAATTTCAGAAGATATTTTTAACTCACTTATTTAAGTAACATTAGGAAAATATGCAAAAGCCTTCACTATATTTTTCTTAGTGAAAAAATTAATATTGAAGAAATTAAATATGTCAGACCTCTTTGACACCTAAAATCTCCTAGGAAACACATATGTGAAGTTTACATTGTCTGGCTACTAAAATTTCTTTTCAAAAAGCATCACAATTAAAAACTTCAAGGTCTACCCATAACAATTTTTTTTAAAGGACAACATCTTGATAAACTATACAAACCATCTCTCAACTATCTTCTATTTTTTCTCATTCATTTTTTCCAACAGCGTTTCCCCCTCGTATTCTCAAAGAGAAAATTCTGTAATTCATTGGTACCTATCATCTACAACCAGTTCAATAAGAATCTTCAAGTCATATCATACTTCTACAACAAATCTTAATCCAAAAATCAGATGAAGTGCAACTGATTCCAAAATCCAGGTTAAAAATCAAAATATACTAGCATAGTCCAGTATGGGATATATATTCCAGTAGAGATCAGTAATAAAATAGTTAAGTATTCAATACTTAACTGAAAGCTTTAAATGCCAGAATCTGGACCTAGGCTTTCAACTTTATTCTAGTCAAATAGTTAAAATAAGTAAAAATAAACTGTATTATACTGGATCAAACCTAGCAAGGTGTGAAGACTATTAAGTGCAAAATGGCTTTCCATGAGTGATTTTTAATTATCTCTTGCTAACTAATTTTCTATCAGACGTCCAGCATTACACAGAACTGCTTCCATAGTCACCAATAGAAAAAACACACTTCTTTCAGAAATCTACAGCCTGGTCACCATACTTTTCTGGTAAGAACTAAATCTACACTCACCCCTCTCTCCCTTAAGTATTCACTTTCTTTCCCAAAGTAGAGCTTCCATAAATATTACAATATTAAGGACTAAATTTTAATGAATACAAATCAGAGGAAATGAAGGAACATTAACTCCCATTCAAACCTTCCTTTTAAAAAATCTGTTTCCAAGCAGTATTTTTAACTTCTTTTAAAAGATTCTCTTTTTAAAAGATGAACACAAAATCTTTCTGCTAATGACTTTATTCATGAATCTATAATGGAATTCAAAATGGCAAAGAACATGAAAAAATTTCAGATTAATATTTATCAACCAAATACATCAGAGAATACATCTATTTTTCATATAACAAAAATGTCTAAAATGCACACATGAGAACATATTCTTCACTTTGCAGCATTTCAGTGTAATGAATATTTGCTTAACAGTTTTCCAGAAAAGCTCATTTACACTGTCAAATATATGCAATTCAAAAGAAATCAAACATAACTGGTAAAAGAGTCATCTCATATTCTTTGGGTGAAGTACTATCTTCATAAGAAATTAGTAAAGATAGTTGGTGGTGGGTGCACTGTGGCAGTTATACTTGATGGGAGTACCCCAATATTCCCTCAATTAAAACTTAATTATAAAAAATATAAAATGTTTTAAGAAGCCAAAAAAAAAAAAAACCCAAACATTTGTTTCTTGCTTCAAAGAACCTATAACTTAAATAGGGAGAGCTCTGGAAAGGAGTGGTGGAATTGTGGGAGGTGAAAAAGACATCTGGAAATCACTGGGACTTTTTCCAATTGTAAAATAGTGAAATGCCATCCTCTTGTTTTATTCAGCTGTGAGACTCAAATGGAGTTATGCAAATGCAAGGTTGTGTTATTTTACTGTTCAGAACGAAGGAAGTCCCGGGTGTATCCAGATTCACAGCACTGCCAATGCCCACCCCCTGGGGGGGCCCTGAGCTGAGGTAGGTAAGCAGGGGTTGACCCCACTGGCCTGCCCGGGACCACCAGGAGTAGGGATGGGGCCACCCTCTCCCCTGCAGGCTACTCTGAGGTGACCACTGATTCCCTGAGCTACTATGCCAACCCAAGGCAGCCCACTAACACGTCTCTTTGCTGAGGGCATTTCCTTACCCTCCTCTGCCGCCTGGGGTTTGTTTTTCTAGGTTGTGTGAAGTAGGATGGTTTGCTTTCAAAGCTTAATAGAAATACTGAAAATGAAACAAGCCAAAAATTTTTCAAAAGAAAAGGAAGAAAGAAAAACACCCCAGATGGGAACCCACTGTATTTTCTCAAAAAATACACAAAATAAGAAATAAAAGTAGAATTGGTGTTACACCCAGTTTTAAAAAGCATGAGGGACAATGGAGAAGAATGTCCTATAGAAGCAGTGACCAGAGCTGAAGACCAAATATGAGAGGAGATTAAGGTGAAGCGCTAATACAAACTGTGCCCAAAGTTTAATAAGAAGCTTCGTGTAGTGCTAGGAAACTCCAAGTCATCCCTATTTACGTAATTATACTAAATGGTTAATGTATATAACAAGACATTTATACATACATATATTTAATATTGTTATAAATGCTTACATCATAAAGTGATTTAAGAAAAAAATGTTAAAAGCTGAAAAAAATCTGAAAATGTTAAAATTTTCCTTCAGTTATTCACTAAATTCAGCACATTCATAAGAGATCATAAACATTATTTTGCAATTTAAAAATCTTTTATTCCACAGATTATTTCCTGGAAGTTAAATATCACCTCATCATTGCTAAATGAAGTTTTTCACGATACAGAAATAATTAGACACAATTTTCGTTGTTTTAAACATGATCTTTGGTTTGAAGCTGTCCTGACATCCTTTCCAGTTGGATGACTACGGGTGGTAAATATTCATACCACAGCACATTGGCTGAATCTGAACCTCAAAAGTCAACTGGGTGAGTGGTTTAAAGAGAATATGAATGGCCTATGTCAAGAAATCTGGCAAGATGAGTTCCCTGAATCCGTAAGTGATATGGTCAACGTTAAGGGCTGTATAGTTGAAGAGTGAATCACCTCCTTCCATCAAACACCTCTATCAATTCATTAACAGAATTTGCCATTAAGAGGAAATTCATTGAGAAAAAAATCTATTCTGAATTAAGGCACACAGGTGCAAACTGTAAGCAGAAAACTCAGACCACCCGAGCTGCATACGCAACCAGAAGTATGTCCACCCCAAGGGCATAGGACAGGTTGAATATTATCGCTACATAGATCCCACCACAGGGAAACTGTGGGTGTAAGTAACCTAGAGATCAGAATTAGATAATGGTTTTCCAGAAATAATGAGACTTGAAATGATGCAAAAGTTGATCTTTCCCCAAAATGTAAGTTTTTAAATAAACAGAGCAAAGGAATGCAGTAACATTTCACTGGAAACTATAAGAAGCCATAAAGTTGAATCCCAGAAAGGGTAAGTTCAAGTTCATAACTCAAGATTGCTGGTGATTTTTTCTCGCTCTCCTTGAATAATCAAATGCAAATGCCTTTTTGCAATGGCGGCATTCAAATCCCACAAAAAATCAAGTAGTGCCCCGTTGAGAAGCACCTCCATTGGGACAAACTGTAAAACCTGCTGGGGTGCATCAGAGTGGAGCAGAGCACTCAACAAGTCGCTCACATTCTGCAGATACTGGAACACTGGATTTGGGAGGCCCTGATAACCGACACAGAGCAGAACTGCACATGTTCTCAGGGGCTCAGAGGACGTGGGACAAGAAAATGTGATGAATCTGAAACAGCTGTGGAGGACAAAAACCAAACCAGCCATAAACCTTGTAAAACAAGACAGCACAGGCAAAACCATAGCATCTCCGGTATGAAGCTGCTGCAATGAATGCAGAAGGCAGTTCAAAAACAACCGCTGGTAAGCTGGGTCTCCATCGTGAAGCAACGAACAACTAAAAGTCGTGAGTTCAGCTGATTCCCGGACAATTTCCAACGGCAAATGTATCTTGGTATCATGAAGAGCTGAAAAACCAACAAGCAGACACTTTACCTGGCTGCTGGGTTCTACAAGCTGCTCGTCCTGAAGGTCCCTGGCCAGGCTAAACAACTCAGAAAATATCATTTCCTCAGAAAAAACGTGACAAGAACAATAATACTGCTGCTTGGGCCTAAAACTGGGATCCAAATTCCAAGCTCCTCCTAGTGATTTTTCAATGGCTTCATTAAGAGCCTTTAAAATTTCACCATCACAGAAAGGAGAGCACTTTACTTTTGGCAGTTTCTTTCCCTCTAAAACCTGCCATAAGTGACACTCAAGGTTAGAAGCTGTTCCCTCCAAAAAAGCCCCTTGCCCAGGGTGATAGGCAGCATGCTCTTCAGCCCAACTATTAAAGTATCCTTTCGCCACCTTATCTTTCCATGAAAGAGTTTCCAGTACCTTCCTTTCATTATAGGTCCTAAAATATCTGTTCCTCTGCCCAAACCATTTTGTATTTGTACTACAACCAATATTAGATTTTTTTACTAGCCAATTATTTCTAGAAAGAGGCTTCAATTGAAACTTTTGCATGAAATGCTGAACAGCACAGTCCCTTAAATTATTCAGCTTTGCTTGTTCCTCTTTTCCCATGCACTCAAACAGACGAATGTTCTCAGAAATAGTCTGTAGCTGATATTTATGAAAGAACACACAACATTCTTCATGCTTCTTAAGAAAAGACTTGGGAATGACATGATGGGGAAAGAGAGCTTTCCTGGTCATGTCAGTCCCAAAATTCAGCACCATCTTCGATAACAGAGGGTAGATGGCTTCTCGTCCCTTATAGTGAAGACATACCACATAGACTTCCGAGTTTCCTGCCTTGCTGGTGGCAGGTTTGAAAACATGGACTTGCTCAAAGGAACAGTTCAGCAGGTACATCAGGTTTATGGAACAATGTTCAAACAAAGTAAACATCTTCAGAACAAAAGAGCCACCATTCCCAAGAGTCATCAGAGCAGTGACAGCTTCACAGTAATGCAAAGAAGAGACTAAAGCTTCTTGTTCACCGGGATTTCCCTGGCAATCAAAACTCCCATCGGCAGTGATCAAGTGAATGGTATCCATGGTGCTTGTAAAATTCTGAAGTCCAGTGAGATATTTCGAGGTCATGATATCACCAGTGTTATCAGGACCAAAGTACCACCAATGCAAGGTATTTGCAATAAGTCGGTCATCCATAATCATCGTAAGATTATCATTTGCTTCGTGGTATGGATTCAGGGTATTAGCTACCCAACTCCACTCACAGGGGAATCGGTGGGATTTTAAGTAGTGATTGAGACTAGCTATAAAAGCTCCAGGAGCTTCACAAAGGTGTAGGGTGTTCAGTTTTCCATCCTGAAAAGCATCCTGTGGAATAAGCGGGAAGCTGCACAGGATCTCGTGAAACTTACACCATGCTTGAGTGCAAAGCTCGGCATTCACAGATTTTCTCACATGAGAAATTATTTTTCCCGCTTTATTAGTGAAAGCAGTGTGTTCATGCCATTCATCCAGTTTCTTATCACTCAGTAGATTTTTTACTTCATTTAGTGAGTTCTTCAAATCAAGAAATGCATTAAATTCCATGTGGTCACAGGTGAAAATCTCACTCATATCTGGTAACTGCCACTCATTAAGTGGCTTGCCGTAAGAAAAGTTTTTGGCAAACAGTTCGACAATGTCAGCAAGAACATCTGGGCTGAATGTCTCAGGACCTGAACCCATTGGAGGCTTTCTGCACTTACTCATTTTCAAATTAAATTAAAATCTAGAAAAAGAAAACACATGATTAAATGAATCAGATTTATTAGAGAGTGAAATGTCATACACAGCAAACAGGGCCAGACTCATGACACACTGCATAACGGTTAACATACACTGTTACATGAGGGAGTAAAGAAAGGAATTAAAAATAAATAGTAAAAGAATAAAGAAAGAGCAAAAGGCTTTGATAGCCAATAGATCTGGGCTCAAATTTCAGCTCTGCCACTTAGTAAGTGGTCTTGAGCAAATCACATCTCTCAGTCTCGGTTTCTCATTCTTTAAAAAAAGAGCTATCATTTTCTTAATGATAAAATATACTAGCATACAAACCGCATATGCCAAAAAAAAAAAAAAAATACCACCAGTGAATGGAAGCTCTTATTACCATCATCAAGCACCTAACTACTCCCCAAAGCTCTCTTTTAATCCTGGCTCAGACACCACCCACAGGACCCCAACACTCTTAGCAATTCCTCTCTGAACATTGACCTCTGAACAAGCTGTATAAATAACTTTTAGCTTATTTTTTGCTACCTCCAAATTTCACCTTCTTCCAGGAGCGAATCCTCGATTTTAACCTTGCACTGGTCCTGCTACCAGGTCTCTGGCCCACCATCCACTGCCTCACTTACTGGGATGGTGATTAAATACTCTCTCAAGATTTTACTCTCTGGCACTTTACTGATCCTGTCACCACAAACTAACAATCACCGCCACAATGCTTGTTCACTGCGCTCAACTTGACAAGTTAGCCTCTTCTGCTCAACACTGAAACTGACTATAGTTTACACTGGCAAGTTTCTAAACTACAGGTTCCTGTCTCATCTGGTCAATGCCACAGCTCTGTGCTGTAAAATATTATTTCTGCTTGCCACTAAAACTTAACCTGTTTTGAAAGAATTTTAAACTGAACAAATAGTACAAGTGAATATACAAATAACACTCATTCTACATTCTGTGTGCTAACAGTGCCTAAGAAAACAAAAACACATGCCCACAGACGAAAGGGATACGAAAGAAAGCAGCATGGCTTCATGGTGTAGTTGGAAAACTAAATTCCAGCAGATACAGCAATGACTATTACACAGTACTTGCTAGCACAATATTAATCAATGAATGCTTCAGTTCATGACTTCTGCTATCTATTTAGCATATTCAATGCATTCTACCCCAATTTTCAAAAACAACCTAAATTTGTTTAAAGTAGAAAAATTGGCAACTAGATCACCATCCCACAAAAAGCCAAAGTATGATGATTAAAAGGGGAAATACAGATGAGCTAACACCACAATAAGTACAATAATATCCAGAAGATATACTATATCATTTACTTTGTAGTGTTTTTTTAGGATACTTTTTCATCCTTTCATACTTTATGTTTAAAGTATTTACAAGTCTATTTACTCAACTAACTTATCTGAAAGTAACAAATAACCTTCTTCCTCATTTCTATATGCCACAGTACGTTTACAAGTTACATGTAACCTGAGGTTAATAGTCACAACTACCCACCAGTATCTTTTTTTCACCTCAGATTAACTGTTTTTACTGCTAGAAATTGTATTTAGACAAATTTCTCAAAGGTCAAAGGAGGCATTTTCACATTCACTAAAATCCTAAATAACCAGATTCACTAAAACCCTAAATTAAAAGCAAAAAAAAGGGCCTCCCCGCTGGCGCAGTGGTTGAGCGCTGGGTTGCGAAGCTGCCCGCGGCCTCTGCAGCGCCGGTTTGATCCCCGGCTGCTCCCAGCCATCGGAGGAGGGTCCCACATGGCGCGCAGACCTCTCCTGCCGCCCGCTGCTCCCCTCAGCAGTGTACTTCGGTCCTTCTGTCTGCTCTGCTCCCCACTCTGGCTCTGGTGAATCCTCTCACCCTCCCGCACTTCTGACTGTACCCAGTGCTTGTATAAATAAATAAATAAATAAAAATTAATAAAAAAAATAAAAGCAAAAAAAAAAAAAGTTTACTACAAGTCATTATGTTTTAATTCACAGTGTGCTTACCGGAAACTACAAACATTATTCGATTTCAACTATTTGGGGGAAAAAGTGACTTTAGTCCTCAACTTCACATCTAAATAATGGTTGTAGGTAACCTCTCCAATGGCACCTAAGCTAATAAATAATTAACTTCATATAAGAACAACTAAAGTAATTCCAACACTCTCCTGTCCTTCCTGACTGTACTTTAGACCAGAATTATATACTAAATCTCGTTCAGGTTGGCAATCCACAACTGCATGTACACTTATCCAAAGATTATGTTTCCTACTATCAAGTTCCTAGAATCCAGGCACTAGCTCCCACCTCCACCCACTAGCCTCCTGACTGCAGACCCCTTCAACTCTCTCCTGGATCACTGCCACGGCCTTTTCACAGACCTCTCTGCTTGTATCCTTGCCTCCTCCATTCTACTCTGAAACATCCTGACCAGAGTAACGTTGTCCCAGCGTTGCTGTGCCACTCAAAACTGAGTCATAGCTCCCCACTTTACTCCCAGTAAATGTCAAAGTCCCTACAGTAGTCCCCAGGGCCCCTGAAGATAATGCTCCCAGCCCCACCCTATCTCTAACCTGCTATCTTTTTCACTCATTCTTCTCCCATCATACAAGCTTTCTTGTTCGCTGAAGACACCAGGCAGAGTGCAAGCTTCAAGGTTTGCAGTGGTCATTGTCTCCCCTCAGCCATCTGTACAGCGACTTCCCTCACCTCCTTCAGGCATTAACTCAAGTGTAATTGCCTGTGAAACCTCACCTCACAACTCAAGTTGCATCTTGCATTTCCAATGCCCATTATCCTGCTGTATTTTTCTCTTTGTTCCGTAACCCTCTTTTCCTTCCAACATATAATTTACTTACGTTCACTGCTTATTACTGGTCTTCCCCAAACTAAAACGTAACTCCACGGGGCCGGGATCGTTGTTTTATTTACTCCTGGAGCACTCCAGGAGGTCAGAACAGTGGTTAATATACACACGGTAAGTACAGATCAAATAAATGAATGGATAGCATACTTAGCACAAAAAGCACTCTTCTGATCAGGTTCTGAATGAGTCATCACAATGCATTTCCACTTCACTCCAGGCCCTTCCATGCATGGCTGAAATTTTTTTTAAAAGCATGTGGCTTACTGGGTGGGGGGTAAGGGGAAAGTTTCCAGTTAGTGTTCCTGTGCCCCTGTCATTAAGCACCTCGCAGACAGAGCTTTGTGGCCTCCCACTTCAGCCAGGAGGTTGGTACTACCGTTATTAATTTGCAGACTCGAAAAAGAGGATATGCTAGTCCTCTGCCCACATCCACACAGGGAACAGCGGCGAAATTTAAGGGCCTGACACAGAACCCACAAGAGCTCATCAACAGTTGTTACCTCTTCAAAAGAACGCTTACAGGGGAGCTTGAGCAGAGTTTCTGCCAACTCTTCCCCGCACGGTGAAAACAGCGGCTGCTGTGCACCACTGGGGGCCGGGGGCACCCCGAGTCCTCGCCTAACCTGGTGCAAGTGAGCCCCAAGTTCCACGGGACGGCTCGCCCCCTGACCCGAGGAGCGCCAGCCCCAGCACCGGCCTCGCCCACTGGGACGCCTGCGCGGGCCGGCGCCCGGGCGGGGATTACCTGCGCTCACGCCCACCTCGGCCCCCCGAGTCCAGCGCGGCTGCGCGCCTCCGCCCTCGAGGGGGCCATGCTCCACTTCCGCCCCCGGGGCTGCTTCCCGGGACGGTCTCTCCGTTGAGCCGCGACGCCCGCCCGCCGCAGGGAAGTAAGGCGGCGCGCCCGGAGGCCGAGGAGGATCCCGGAAGCGCCCTCGCGCCACCAGAAGCGGGGACCCGCCTCCCGGCCGCCCCTCGGCCAAACTCTGGCCGACGGCGGCCCGCGGGGCCTGACAGGCACATTGCGCAGGCGCGCTAAGGCGGGGCTGGCGTTACGTGCGTCGTTACGCACGCCGGCCCCTCCAGCAGCCCCGAGGTCTCCGCCGCTGAGTTTGGCTTCTCCACGTGATACGAGAAGTGGGAAGCGCCTCTATGGCAACGGAAGCTGCGCGCGCAGGAGGGGCGCGCCTTGGCCCCACCCCCTGCGGTGGAGGGACGGGGTGGGGCGGGGCCAAGGTGTCCGCCACGGGCCGCGCTGGCTCCGCCCACTGAGCCGCAAAATAGTCCAGGTCGCCCATCACCTGGCGTTGTGGGGCAGATGCTGGCAGAGTTAAAAGTGGTGTTGGATTATAGTTACTTGTTGATTTTGATTTTTTTATTATAATTAGTCTTTTTTTATTATAATTAGTATTATTTAGGTTTTCTAAATTCCTGCTATGAGTGAGACCATCCGGTATTTTTCTTTTTCTTTCTGGCTTATTTTTCTGAGCATGATCCCTTCTGGCTCCATCCACGTTGCTGCAAATTGCCATGAGTTTATCTTTTTTGATTGCTGAGTAATATTCCATTGTGTATATGTACACACTGGGGGGGGAGAGGAGGGATTAGGGCCAAAATAAGGGGGGGGGGAATTGTACGTGGAATATAACCAAAATGAAAATGCATACATTGTGCATAAATGAAAAATGATGTAAGAGTTATATAAAATAAAATATTTTTTAAAAAGTGGCGTTGGAAAGACCAAAACGATGAAGTTAAAAGCCAGATCCGGAAAAGCTGAGAAATAATACTGTTATGTATCTATAAAACAATAAGAAAAATAGTACCTTACAAGAAAAATGGGTGAAAATTTGAACTGGCAGAAAAAAGTCAGAGTCAGTAAGGATACACGAAGAATTTTAAAAGAATTGGAAATGAAAACAAGTTTTCTTTTCATCTGATTTAGCACAGATTTTAAAAGATCGATAATGGCCACTATTGGTGAGAATAGGGAAAACCAGGTATGTATACTATGTTGGAGTAAAAATTGATATAAACCATATGGAATGCAAACTTTTAAATGGGCTTGTGCATTAGCCCAGCAAGTCCCACTCCTTACGATTTATCCTTAGGAAACAGACAACTGGCATTCACTTTGAACAAAATGTTCATTTCAGCAGCACCTTAACAACAATAACAAAAACTGGAAGTTCTCTAAATGCCTACTTTAAGGGAATTAATTTTTTACTGTACATCCATATAATGGGATATTGTGCAGCCATTCATAAGTTTTATATTAACAGTATTGGGTGAAAACAGAATGAATAAAACTGTAGAATTTGAATATGTAAATTATATAGTGTACATATTACATATGTGTATATATAGAGAGAGATTTTTTTTTTAACGTATCTTCCAAGACATGCATTAATGGAGAAGTTGTTGTCTTTATAAGAATTGGTCTAATGGGGGCCTCCCCTGGTGGCGCAGGCAGTTGAGCGCAGTGCTGTGAGGCTGTCCACAGTCTCTGCAGCGCCAGTTCCATCCCGGCCTGCCAGCGAGGGTCCCACATGGCCCAGCGGACCTCTCCTGTCTCACCCACTGCTCCCCTCAGCAGTGTATTTCATCGGTCTGCCTGTTCTGTTCCCCACTCTGTCTCTGGTGAATCCGCTCACCCTCCCACGCGTCTGGCCTGTACCCCGGTTCTTGTATAAATAAATAAATATTTAAAAAAAAAAAAAAAAAAGAATTGGTCTAATGGAATCAAATTGAAAGCCCAGAAATAAAACTACACATGTATGATCAACTAATCTATGATAAAGGAGAAAAGAATATATACTGGAACAAGGGGAGTCTCTTAAATGGTGCTGGGACAACTGGACGGCCACGTGCAAAATAATGAAGCTAGATTACTATCTCACACCATACACAGAAATCAACTCAAATTGGGTGAAAGTCTTGGATGTAAGACCTGAAACCATAAAATATATAGAAAGCTTGTTTTTTCAGATCCCTCTGGGAGCCCTCCCACCTTTAAAAGTAAGGATGCTCCTTTCCTCCAGGTATAGGGAGACCATAGCTTACAAAGGGACTTGTAATAAGCTTCAAGGGAAGGTCAGAGTATCCTTCCTTCACCCACCATTTCTCAGATGCTTTTAGTTTAACATACTCAACACAACAAGGCCCCAGATCTGGGGGCAGCATGTTCGCAGCTCCATCAATATTCATGTTTGACATATCTGTGGGTTCCTTTCTGTTCCTAAGTAGTAGCATGCCATTGTATGGAGGGATCACAACTTATCCCTTCTCCTGTTGATGAACATCTTAGTTGTTTCCAGTTTGGGGCTATTACCAATAAACCTACTATGCATTTAACAGAGAGCATTTTTATGAGCATGTTTCCTTTACTCTTGAATTAGTACCTAAGCCAGGAATGTCTGGGTCATGGAGTAAATTAAGGTTTCTCAAGTTCAGTAGTTCTCGACATTTTGAGAATCACTGACATAGATATATGTGCAACTTCTTTTTTTATTTTTTAAAGATTTATTTATTTATACAAGCACTGGGTACAGTCAGAAGCACAGGAGGGTGAGAGAATTCACCAGAGAGAGAGGAGAGCAGAGCAGGCAGAAGGACCGAAGTACACTGCTGAGGGGAGCAGCGAACGGCAGGAGAGGTCTGCGCGCCATGTGGGACCCTCACCCAGTGGCTGGGGATCGAACCTGCTCTGCAGAGGTTGCAGGCAGCTTTGCAAGCCAGCGCTCAACCACTGCACCACCGGGGAGGCCCTATGTGCAACTTTTTAAGAAACCTCTAAACAGTTTTCCAAGTGCTTACACCCACAATCCCTGAGAATTCTATTTGCTTCACATCCTCACCAACTTCTGGTATTGTAAATCTTTTTCCTTTTAGCCAGTGGTGGGAGTTGGTTGCTTTTCAGGTGATTCTTAATAAATATTATTAAAAATGTAAAGATGTGGATTGTCTTTTGAGGGACTGAGAAGCTAGATGAACAATACGTGATCTCTTAAACGCAATCACTATATTCCCTGAGATTTACAAATATTACCAGTGATGTTCCAAACAACAAAGCCAGTCCTTACTAAAATAATCACAACATTGACTACATTTATGGAGTACATAATATATGCTAAGCGCTGAGCTAAACTTTTTTCATTTAATGCTCTCAACAACTCCGTGAGTTAGAAACATGTCTTCTCACTATTTTATAGACAAAGAAACTGAGGAGCAAATGATGCTGAAGGTCATGCAGTCAACAAGTAGTCAGACTTAGGTTGTTGGTCCGACTCCAAGTTCAGTGTGTTTTGCCAAGAATTCCTAGAAATTGCCTCCAGTAATATTAAAACAACTTTACAGTCCACATTAATGACAGAAATACTAACAGTAGACCACCAATTCTTTTAAAGGTGAATTTTTTTTATTTTGCCCTAAAGGCAAAAGATAGTAGATTATTGCAAATTTTTTGGAAAATGATGAAATATTTTGAACAAATGAAATTAGTATCTGTAACTTTAAAAAAATTCAAAGAAAATAACCAACCTGCCACTGCAAATTTGGCTTGAAATTCAATCAGGTGAATGCATTTAGTACCAACTTTTAAAGATACACATTTTAGGAAACATACTAGTGTCTGGGTGGAAGCCTGGCTACAGTGAGTTATTCTTTCCACTTAGTGGGTGTTCTTTGTACTCAACTGGCAGGACAATGAGAATGTAATTAGCATACAAGAACTAAAGCAACTAGAATTAAACAACAAGAATTAAAACAACTGGCCTCCCAGCCTCTGCTCCAATTTTATTTCTCTCTTAAAGCAAACACAAACTAAACTGCTTACCTGGTCATTTATCACTAGTCACCTTACTAAATCACTACTTCAATCCTCAGATTCTGTGAGGCAGTAATATAAGATTCTGGTTCCAAAACCCCAGAGGGAGTTTTCTGGGTGACAGAAATGTTCTACATCTTGAAGGAGGTTCGGTTAAAGAGGCATATACCCTTGTCAAAGCTCTTCAGGTAGTAACATTAAAATATAAGCATTTCACTGAATATAAATTTTATCACAAAAAAAAAAAAAAAGCCAAAAACAGATACTGACTCTAACCCCATCCATGCTGAAGTATTTGGAGAGGAAAAGCATGCTAACACCTGCACCTTAGCTGAAAATGCACTGTTTTTTTTGGTTTGGTTTTTTTTTTTTTTTTTTTTTGCATATAAGAACTGGGATACAGGCCAGAGGTGCAAGGGTAAGAGGATTCAACAGAGACAGCGCGGGGAACAGAACAGGCAGATTTACTGAAATACACTGCTGAGGGGAACAGTGGGTGAAATGGGAGAGGTCTGCTGCACCATATGTGGGTTGCTCCCTGGCTGGGGATCGAACTCAGCCATATGGGTGATAGCGCTGAGACTTAAGCCCTAGGCTACTAGGGAGGCCCTGTTTTTTTATTCTTTTTATTTTTTTTTAAGATTTATTTATTTATTTATTTAAACAAGCACTAGGTACAGTCAGAAGCGCGGGAGGGTAGGAGTATTCACCAGAGCCAGAGCGGGGAGCAGAGCAGGCAGAAGGACCGAAGTACACTGCTGAGGGGAGCAGCGGGCGGCAGGAGAGGTCTGCGCACCATGTGGGACCCTCCGGTGGCCGGGGAGCAGCCGGGTATCGAACCGGCGCTGCAGAGGCTGCG